CAGGTGGTAAGTGATGGAGCCAAGTTTGGAATCTGTCAGACAGACCTTAGAGCCTACCTTCTGAATAACTTTGTGTAGAATTTTCAATGGCTGAGTATAAAACAACAAGCAATGGTACCTTTTAGCTAAATCTACTTTTTAGGCTTTGTAGGTAGTGCCTCCTGCTGTGTCAAAGTGGTAAACCTGGTGTAAGTAAATTCAGAAGACAGCATGTTGACTATAAGGCAGAACAATTGTGAATGGCCCTATCATCCTTCACTATGAAATCAAAATGGCAGCTAAAGGAACATTAGAGAGCATTAGAGAAGAGGCCTAGGATGGAATCAAACAAATCCAGGCTCAAATCCACCATTTCCTAGTGTAATGGGAATAAATAATCTTCCATAACAAGTTGGTTCTAAAAAACAACCCAAGTTGATATATAAATAAACAACCCAAGTTGGTATATAAATATAGCATCTAGCAAAATTCCAAGCCTTTAGTATGAATACACAAGAATGTGATTTATCTTGTGGAACAGACATTATGGATTAATTCCCTTTTATCTTGACTTCTTCTACTTATATAAGCATGAAAACAGAAATAGCCGGTTTTCCAGTCTCCCAGTGCATGGTATGGGCTTTAAGAAAGGGAAGACACCATTAGGAAACCACTCATATACAACTAAAAGGTAAATGCCCTATAAGGAAAAGACCTTTTCTCCTCATTCCAGGATGCTAAAAATGGAACAGTAGGACAAAAAGAGCCTGAACTTTTTGTTGTTGTTGTTTTAGGTTTTTGCCATAGACCACATGCACTTGCCAGAAAGAGACAGAGAGAAGGAAAGTGGGAATTCACCCCCTGGGGTGATGGCTATGTCACAATCCCTTCTCTTTTTGTGATTTTGGGCATGCATGCACATGTGCCCAGTGTGATTTTCAAGCCACTGGGTCTGGGACTCAAACCACTGTCAGTCATGTTGGAGTCCATTGCCCTAACCATTACAGAGCCTAATGGCCCAGTTCCTGCTCTTTTAACCACTTAACAGTCCTTGATTATCTATGTCCATTCTTATTTCTATGTGAAGAGAATAATGCCTGTATATTTAGGCCACCATTGGTAGATTTTTGTTGTTTGCAGCAAACAAAGTTTATCCAATACAATTTCCTCACAGTTTGCCAGAGATCCTTGTGTTTTCCCAGACCATGGAAAACACATATCTAAGGATCATACTGTCACAAATAGCCGATATCTACAACTTCAGAGTCAGTGAGTATTCACTATAGGTAGGCCTCAGATATCAGGGTTAGGGAAAGTACGAACCTAAACTTTCTATTCACTAGTAGCAGGTTGGGGATCTGGGTGGTCACAAACTAGGTTAAAAAGCTGGGGTCACTTAGTGAGACTGCAATCACTGGCAATAAGATAAGGGGCAAAAACATAGAGTGGCATATAGCCGATAAAGAGACAAACAAATTTTGGAACTGCTATATATTAACGGTGATCATGAATAACTTGCTTAGACTCTCTAGACTTCAGGTTTTGCTTCTGTAAAGTTAGGATGGTAACTTTTATCTTCTGGGCTTACAGTGAAGATCGAGTATCAAATAATAAACAACTATCACAGTACTTAGAAATCACAGCAGGTGATCCAAAAGTGGCTATAGTTATAACTATTAAAACACTAAAAAATAATAGCCCTTTATATGAACCTACTTAGGGTCAAGCCCTGGGATTACAGGAGACAAAAAGGAAATCATGTTCCTGCCTCTTTGCTGCATCATGGAGCTTGTATTAGCATGGTGGAAACACCAGATGAACAATTAGGCAAATCAATCCTCTAGGATACTGAGAATAGCTAGGAAGAAGCAGAAGAAAGTTCAGGGGCTGTTGGGTGGGGGAGTGGAAGGGGTGGTGAGACGCTGTCACACTAACTGAACCATGCTTTGGTCATCATCACAAGAAGTTTCTCCCTGGAAGATGAATGGCCAGTGCATCTAATAATTTGGTTAACTAATTTAATGTCACATAATCCTGATTTTCTCTGACTCTTAGGCTAGGCTCATTAAAAACAAATTTTGGAGTTACCTGATGGCATGGATCAAAGCATTGCCAAGTGTGCAATTCAAGTCCCAGCCCCAGCAGCTTGAAAAACACACTAGGCACATGTGTGTGCATGCCTAAAATCCCAAAAGGAGGAAGAGATGGAGAAGAAGGGATTGTGGCATGACTATTCTGCGTGGGGAGTGCATTCTTACTTCCCTTCTCTTTCTGTCTCTTTCTGGCAAGAGCATGTACTCCTTGGTAAACATTAAAAACAAAGAAACAGAAAAATAAGATCATGACACTTTACAAAATTATTTAATGTATGAAAAGATGCAATTCACATGCTTTGAGAGATCGAAATATTAGATAGCTAAGCATCTCAGTTCCTCGCCCCCTTTCCCTTATCCTGTAGCCGGACCTCAGGATCTATTGAATTATTGTCCTCAAAGCTCTGCCATGAAGAGTGCCCTCAGACACCAAAGAGAACCTGGGACAACTGGTTGCAGCGAGACATTAAAAACACACTCTCCATCATCTGAAACATTTCTAATTATTTTTATAATGTGTGTGCCATTTTCCAAGACCCCTTGCTCCACAGGGATAACATGGTTTGTCTGCTTTATTTTAGGAGGGGGAAATAATTTTTAAAAGCTGAATCATGTCTGTAGGCTTTTTGCTTCATACTGCTGTTTAGATGAAACCACATCTCTCCTTTCATTTGAGTATGCTTCTGACTAGCAACATGGCCCTGTGACTGGCAAAGGCCATTTTCTTTCAGCCACCACGGTCCTACCAGACTCACAGCAGTGCTACACAACATCGACTTGAAAAGTAATTAAGATATAAGTATTCCAAAAGAGAACACATGGTTATTTAAAGTCATTGGACACCGTTCAAAAGGAAAGATCTATGAAATACAAGGGCTGAGAGCCGTCATGCTGTTTCTCCCCACTTCTCACATTAAGAAAAAAGACTAATTATAAATCTCCAGCAAATATGACCTGGTAAAGAGTTTTCAAACAAAAGGCTGCACTGAATGGGCTATCTGGCAGATCTGGGCACTTGTTTTCACTAACAAGCATTAAAGTTGTTCCTAGTAAACCATTTTACAGCAACATTAGAAATATCCGAGTGTACGTTTTCGTTAATGAAGCGCTGCAGAATGTGAGTGCAGCCTCACGGCTCCAAACGGCTCCTTATCCTCGCTTTGTCTCATTCTGCCTTTTTCCCCCCTTAACGTTTCATTTCCAATGACACGTCAGCCGTCTTTCACCAACCTCAAAGGAAAGTTGAATGCGGGGCTCACAAAGTTAAGCTGACATTTGCTCCCTTCCAATAAAAAATATTTAGTCCATTAAACATAAATACCTGTCATTATGATACATGGACTGGGTGCAAACCTCCCGGTTCCCTGTGATGTTTATTACATCCAAACAACTGCAGTGCCTGCATGTTTTCAACTTTAGTGTATTGATTAAACTTTTAAATGGCTGCCATATAACCCAGGGACAGCGGGAAGATTAATTTGCGTCAATGTTCATCTGTAATTCATTAGCCATTTATTCTTTACAACCACATGGGCTATCAAGAAAATGCAGGCCATTTTTCACTCGGCACAGGCTGAGAACAGATTCTGAAATTTGTGCTGCATACAAATAAGTTTCCTGGGCCTGGCCAGTTAAACTGCTTGGCTTTTCAAAAGTTGAAGTTGGGAAACAGCAGCAGGGAAGGAACATTAAAAACCAGAAATGGGGAAAAACACACATCCTCGGGGTGCTTGCGAATGAACTGAGTTTGTCCACTGTTTTTCATCCATGGATTATGGTTTCTTATTTCAGTCGGATTAAAATAACGGAAACTTGTGTCTGAGCAAAGGCCATAAATAACACGGGTTGCTTTTTCCCATCCCTCCTTCCCCATCCCCTTTGTAATGTCTCCTAAAATGCTGTTTCTGGCAGAAACCTCCAGCGAGTGGCAGTGAAGTAGAAAAGTGCATTGCCTAGAGGAACTTGGAGCTGTAATCTCGGGGACAATGGCATTTGAACCAACTCTCCCCGAAACAGCAGAATCTCACCCTGCCTCGAGTTGGGAAGGTGCCCAGCTAAATAGCTGCGTGTTTCCTGAGGGAAGAGGTAAGCCATCTGGCTTCTCCACGTGCCCTCCTGACCCCCTTGGCAGAGCACAAAATGCATATTAAAGGCATAAATGGAACGAGCACCCCAGTGAAAGGCCCTTCCACTCACAAGGCACTTTGGGGAGAGAAGGAAGGCGGAGTCTGTGTGTGCTCAGGTCGGGCTGGAGGAGAATAAAGCACACGGGGGAAAATTTTCTTCATAAGGATGAATAATTAAAGTGGAGAGCTCCACGCCCAGGCCTCACTGTGGCTAATAACCGCAATAGGGAGCAGCAAAAAAAGAAACTCAATGGTCAGGACGACATCTGGGCAAGATGGCTGGCAGGTAACCATTTGCAGGAGATGTACAAGCCAGTGTGCAGATGCTCAGGCAACGACCCTTTCTCTGGTCTGCAGTGCCCACCGAAATCAAAGGCACCAGGCACACTGGTAACCTTTGGTAACAAGGCCCATGAAAGAGCTGGCAGAGGAGTCCTTAGGGAAGAGGTGGTAAATTACCCATTTATAATACAACTGCCCAGGCTGCTTACAGCCAGAGATAAAAGGGAGTCCACAACAAAAGCATCCATCTGGAGCCATCCTTGTCCCAGCTCAGAAGTCACTAGTACCAAGAACCAGCAGTATGCAACTCCTTTTCAGGCCACGTGGGGAGAGGGGGGTGGAGGGAAATCATCACAGAAAGGCAGCTTGAGGAATTTTATCTGGTTTGTGGATGGGACATGTAAGTATCAAAAAGAATATATATAAACTGTAGAAAAATGCATTGACAGAACTTTCAGGTCATTAGATCTAGTCCCCTGCCATATATAGGATCCATCAACTTTCTCTCTCTCTCTCTTTTTTAAATACGTAATGCTTCACAATTTGTGCATCATCCTTGTACAAGGGCCATGCTAATCTCTGTGTCATTCCAGTTATAGTATATGTGCTGCTGAAAAAGAACTCTATTTTTTACTCATTTATTTATTTTTTAGATTTTTGCCATTGGGTGGATGCATTCACTGAAGAGACAGAGAGAGAAAGTGAGAAAGTATTCCCCAAAGAAGATGACCATGCTGCAATCCCTTCTCTTCCAATCTCGCTGGAATTTTGGGCATGCATGAACATGCACCCAGCATGATTTTCAAGCCACCAAGTATGGGATTTGAACTAAAGAATCTGCCATGTGGGATCCAGACACTATAACCTCCATGCCACCTGCTGGCCACTCTTTTTTTGTTTGTTTGTTTTTTTCATAGTAATTAGTATGCTGGCTCTGCACCTCATAGGAGCTCAATAAACATTTGTAGAGCAATTATTACAGCTTAAGTACACAGATTCATTCATTCAACCATTCAGCAAATATTTACTATCATATCCTCAGCACAGTTCTAGAACTAGGATAAAGAGGGGGACAACTATAACTGCAAACTCTTGGCAACAGGCTGTTTCTAACATAGGTGCCTTTTACTTTCCTGTGGCGTAAGGATCCTAGGATATTAGTTTCAGAATACTAGGACTGTATTCTTGGTCTTATCTTTCTCGTGGGCAAACCCTGAAAATGATGTTGAACAGCTTATGTCTTATTTATTAATTAAATGAAAACTACATAAAATAACTGAGATTCTTGACAAAATCAATATATAGGTATATATTACTGAAAATTTCAGATAATTTTAAGGATAAGTCTAACTTCTACAGGTGAGGTTAGAGTAAGGGTAATTTTAGAGATAGCCTCCATTGATATGCTGGATGCCAAACACATCTGTCATAATTGACTGAGTTTTAGAAACAGAAGGACTTTTGTGTTTTGTGAAGGTTTCAATCACTTAAGAAGCAAATACTGTAGACCATAAATCTGCCACTTTTTTGGGAGACTGTGGACATAGAGTAAATATGAAGGATCTTCAGAAAATTCATTAATAATGTGTATTATGAAAAAATTATGCATGGATTTCAAAAAGATTTTTTTGCATCAAAATACTCATACTTTAATTCTACTTTCCACCAACTTTCTGAAGTCCCCTAATATAAATCATTGTCTATAGTCTTATGTAAGGATTCTAAAATCATTTTGAGGAGACAAAAACAATATCTGAGAGCTAAGTAATACAGGACAACGGAGAATTAGGGACAATGTATTTAACGTGCCTCTTCTTCCTTTTAAAATAATAATTTAAAAAAATTATGTCATTTAAGTCAAGGTTATTGGGGTACTAGAACTCTTACACTGAAATTGATCAATGACAGTCATCTGATAGTGTATATTGAGAGCTTTCAAATGCTCACACTTTTCTCTTTAATTCCTATTGTTGATGCTTATTCTATGGAAATAATCCCCCAAAGAGAAAAAAGCTACAAAACAAAAATTTTCACTATAGAATTTCTTCTTATAAGGAGCAGATAAAGCCAAGATTAAGTAAATAATAGTACACCAACTCTTTGAAATATCGGGTAGTCATTAAAATGGTAGTAATGAATCAAGAAGCATGAAAATACTAGCATGGCAGGCAAAACTGTAAGTTCACTGGAGTTTACAATGATGTATTCATATTTAAAATACCATAAGAGAATAGTATTTGTAATAGAAAGTTAGAAGTATACAAAATGGGTCTTTTCTCTTGATCAAATATTATATGAGTTTCTTTTATTGCTTTTATAATTAGAAAAAGTTCTAAAATGTTTAAGCTGTGTATAACAGATAATAAATGCTATGAATATTGAAAGACAGCTTCGTGCTGGAGGACCTAGAGTTTGGTCTCATAGATTCCTTAAAAAAAGAGATTTTAATAAACAGAAAGGAAGAGACAGAATATCCTTGGCAAAGAACATTCTCAGCAAATGCTGAGAATTTGAAATGTGCATGGCCTGAAGCAGGAATAATGAAGAGACTGGCTGGCTGGAGTAGATGAGGCACTTTGGAGAAATAATGTCAGATAAATAACACTGGAGACATTTTTTGAAACTTTGGTTTTGTCAAAGTGTAACTATTTCCTTTCTGCATTCTCCTTTATAAAATAATGGGTGTGTAAAATCCTCATTAGCATCCTTCAAGTGTGAGGACTGAATAAAATTTTAAAAATTAAAAGTTATATATCAAAGAGATTGGTTAAGTTTATATTTCACAACTTTGGAAAGTGATTCTGCCCTTCATCTTAGTTCAATAAATTAAAAAAAGAAGAGCTGAGATCATTTTAAAAGAGAAAAATATAATGTTTATAATTTTTATAAAGTAATAAAAAGAGGAAAATTTTAATAAGAATTAGGCGAGTTATAAGAATTATCATTACATAAATCACAATGCTATAGTAACTAAACAACATGGAACTTGTAAAGAAAAATCAGAGATTAATTGTACAAAATAGAAAAAAGGAGTGGATTTCATTATAAAGGAATTTAGATGATGATGAAGTTGAGGAAATAAAGCACTCTTTAATTGATGTGAAAGAGACTAAATGAACTTGTAATCCTAACCAGACAATCAAATGTAAGAAAAGTAACTGTAAGACAACAACAACAAAAATAATTGGAAACTCTCTGTATTTGAAAAAAAGGAAGAAGTAATATAGCAAAGTATTTTCAGATCTGGCCTTGTAAAAAGTTTAAAACCTCTACTTGGGAAACAACAAAAAAAAGTAAAACTCAAATTACAAACTTAGAATTTGATCCGGCCTGCCCATGCATGGTGGTTAAGGGAGCTGGATCGTACATTGCCAGCCACACAGTTCGAGTACTGAGCACTACGACTTGAAAAATACACTGGGTAAGTGAGTGTGCATGCACCAAATCCCAATAAAATGGGGAAAAGTAGGAAAAAAGACAGTGGCGTGACTATGACCATGTCCCAGTGGGAGGTGCTTTCTCCCTCTCCCTCTCTGTTGCTCTATCACTCCCTAGTGAGCCAACATGGCCTCTGGAAAACTGGGGGGAAAAAATGGTCTCTATGACAAAGTACTTTTTTTTTTTCACCTAGTAAACATTTCTTTTAAGTCAAAATGAAAATTATTAGCATCTTTACAGGGAAATGGGTAAACAATAAGAAATGCTGTTTATGACATAAAAGTAAAAATAGACAATAAACTTACTGAGCATGTCTAGCTTTACAAAGGCACGAGCAAAAACTTTTAAAGGGTATTTTGCTATTTAAAAAAAATGGTAATACATAATACTTGTGATCATATAGTGAAATGAAACTTTTGCTGGTAGAAATTTATACTGGTACTTTTTATTTTTGTTTTTGTTTTGAAATGCTATCAATGTGCATTAAGCACTTTAAAAAGTTCAAAAGAGGGGCCAGAATTTGGTATGGTGGTTCACACACTGTATTCCCACATGGCCAACTGTGGTTTGAGTCCTGGATGCATTGGCTTGAAAATCACACTGGCTGTGTGTGCATATATGCCCCAAATCCTGAGAGAACAGAGGAGAAGGAATTGTGATGTGGGGGGCAATTTTATACTCTTTCTCTCTGGTGAGTGCATGCACCTTGTGTCAAAAATATTAAAAAGAAAAGCGGACCAGCAGTTAGCATAATGACTATGTTGCTGAACTCCCATGTAGCCAACTGCGGTTCGAGTCCTGGATCCAGTGGCTTAAACTCATGCTGGGCGTGTGGGCATGTGTGTGCCAAAGATCCTGAGAGGAGAATGGAGGAGAAGGGATTGCGGCGTGGCCATCCCCCTGGGGGGTGATTTCTCGCTTTCTATCTCTCTGTCTGTCTCTGTCTTTCTGGTGAGTACACATGCCCTATAGCAAAAACCTCTCCAAAAAAAAACAAAAAAAGGTGTAAAAAAAGTCAAACTAAAACAAGAAATTTCTCTTCCTTCCAAAAGTATATTGAACTGGGTTTTTGCCTCTTACAGTCTATTTCAAAGTATGGCTTCTTTTTCACTGAATATTCTTTATTTTTAAAAATTTATTTCTCTATGTAAGAGAGACACAGAGAGATAGAGAGACAAGCACTCCCCACAGGATCCTCACACAGTGATCCATGCTCAGTCCCCATGGCCCAAACCATGGGCAGGAGTGCAGACCAGGTGTAGAGTTAGTGTCCGGGACAAAGTCCCTGCATCTTCTCCTATGGGTTCATCTGTGTTACTGCTGGGCTGCCTCTGCCCCCTGAATACTCAATTTTGAGTTTTTAAAAAACTGCTTTTGACTTTTGACCACTAAGAACAAAGTATGCTATAGGTTTTTTTCTGTTTGTATATGGTAGATACTTTTTATTTATCTAAGAAGTTGCCTTCAATTTCTTGTTCCATGAGAGATTTTCATTATAAATAAATGCATACCACTATTTTAATCTATAGTATTTTTATGAACATTCAGCTTCAGGGATTTTTCCATTCTTTCCATTATTTTTATGAGCCACAAGTTATAGCTGTTATTTTCAAGACATCTAAACAGATGGGTTTTTACTAGTAAATTTTTTATTATTAATCTCTAAAATGTTATTGTACTCAGGGAACATGTATCTGATATCTAATTTCTGAGATTTGTTAAAACTTGCTTTTATAGCTTTGGGTGTGGTCAATATTTAAAATGTCCAATATATACTTAAGAAAAATGCATATTCACTATGTACAGTTCTACAAATGTCTGCTAAAACCAACTTGTTCATTGTATTTATCTTCTGTGTCTTTACTTTTATGTACTTGATCTATTTCAAGTTGAGAGAAATGTTTTAAAGTCTTTGACTATTATGCTGACCTTTATGTTCCTTTTCTACTATAAGTTCTTGCCTTATATGGTGGGAAGCTGTCTTGCTCACTGATTCTATGGCACCCTTTTTCCACATTTTACATCTTGAAGTAAAGAGATCTCACAATCGACATAATATGAAAGCATTAGACCATAGCTTCATTGTAGCAGTATTTTTGTTGTTGTTTCTAGTGGTAGAAAAAAAGTAATGGTGTATATTACAATTATTGGCATCTTTGATTAGTAAAATGTGATTTTGAAAAA